CCGCGGAGGAAAACAATGCGACCGCCGGGAGGTCTGGGCCGGGCCCCAGCAGCCCCTCCCGCCTCCCGGTCGGACCCGCCTCCGGTCCGCCTCGAGTTCGCCGCAACTAATCGGGCTCTAGCAGGCTGGCTAGACCCCGCCTCCTCGACACATTTCCACCAATAGTCCTCCTCGGGGGCGGGGCGCCTGGAGCACCGCCCAGTGAGAGGCCAGGCCGGGAGCTGAGCTGGAGACCAAAGCCAAGCTCGAGCTGAAGAGACCCCGGGCTACTGCCGAGAGCCAGACAGAGGAGGGGTCACACGTCTTCCGCGGAGAGGCCCTGGAAAGAAAGAGCCGCTGGGAGGAGACCAGAAACCCAGGGACCTCGGCCGGGCTAGGCTGTCAGAGCTGGCGGGACCCTCCCTCCCCTCCTTTCCTCTACAATGGCTTTGGCTACCCTGCTCCCTGGGGAGTCTCCCGCCGCCAACTTTCTGTTCGTCTAATCTAGTTTTTTGTTTTGTTTTGACCTCAACCCTCTTATTTTTCCCCATGTGCCTCCTCTGGTTCCTCCTGACCCCCATAAGGGAAGCCTGCATGCACTCAAGGGCTTTAGGCCTGAGACAGGAAGAAGGTCTCCTAGTCCCCATCATCTCCTCCCCTCCCACCTCTACTGCCACAGCAGGACTAGCTTGGGCAACTAAGCCAGGACCTGAGGAGCCAGGATGCCAGAGTGGCTGGTAGTCAGGCTACTAGTTGATGGAAGAACACAGGTGAGTCAGGCTAAAGCCAAAAGAGAGATGTGGAGATCAAGACAAACTGAGTCAGGGAATCAGAGGAAAAGTGACCAGCTGTCCCAATTCCACATAGCCTCACTGTCCCCAAATACAGGGTTAGTTATGTCGCATCTTCCCTCAGAGAACCCTGGACATCCCTCCAAACAGCAAAACTGAAAACTGCTCCTTCCCCATCCCCACCTTCCATAAAGATCCTTTGATTCTAGCCCTGGCTGGGATGCTCTAACCAGAGCATCCTTCTGGTATGCCAAGGCTGTGGGTTCGATTTCCCATCGGGACACATACAAGAATCAACCAACGGCCCTAGCCAGTTTGGCTCTGTGGATAGAGCGGCGGCCTATGGACTAAAGGGACTCAAGGGTCCTAGGTTCAGGCCAAGAGCACATGACCGGGTTGTGGGCTCAATTCCCTCTTCCCCGGTAAGGGGTGTGCAGGAGGCAGCCGATCCATGATTCTCTCATCATTGATGTTTCTCTCTCTCTCTCTCTCTCCCTCTCTCTCTCTCTCCCCCTTCCTCTTTAAAATCAATTAAAAATATTATTAAAAAATAATCAACCAATGAATGCATAAATAAGTGGAGCATCGGCCTGACGTTTCTCTCTCTGTTTAAAATTAAGTAAATCAACAAACGACCCTTTAATTCTGGGACTGTCAGTAGGAAGGAAGAATAGGCTACTTCAGACAGCTCTGATTGGCTCCCACCTTGGTATTGCCTACTAAGATTCTCCCTTGCGTGGGGGCTGGGACACAAGACAAACGTTCACAAAATTACCAGGACAGTGGGTGGCCTGGGGGACATTGGCATTCTTGGGTAGTTTTATCTGAATGAGCACCTCTTTCCTCCATGCCCCCACATCCTCTTCCCTGGACTGAAGGAAAGGAGAGACGAGTTTGCTACATCTAGCCAGTCTTTACTGAACTAAGATCAGGATGCCCCCACTAACTGGGCTGAACCCCACCACAAAGAAGCAAGAGATATAAACATACATACACTCACACACCTCCATACACACAACACAGAAACAGAGACACGGATGGAAGGCCAGGTAAACCAGTGAGATAAACAGAATCAGAAATAATGGAACAATACATATACAAGGTTAACGGCTAAGGGTCTTGGGTCTAAGGCAATTCAGTGGCCAGGGGGGCTGTTTTAAAGCCTGGAAAGAGGTTTTTCGAGAAAGACACCTCAAAATATAGAGGTTGATCCCTAACTGGTTTGGCTCAGTGGATAGAGCGTCGGCCTGCGGATTGAAGGGTCCCAGGTTTGATTCCGGTCAAGGGCATGTACCTGAGTTGTGGGCACATCCCTAGTAGGGGTTGTGCAGGAGGCAGCTGATCAATGTTTCTAACTCTCTATATCCTATCCATCTCCCTTCCTCTCTGTAAAAAATCAAAATATATTTTTGAAAAAAAATATAGAGGTTGAAATCTCCCCAGATCCCAACACAGGGCTTAAGTACTCAAATATGTGCTCATTGAATAGATTAATGAATGGGGATCAAGGTGTAACTCAATTAAAGTTTTACAGCCCAACTAAAATTTCAATTCAATCCAATAAGTATGAAGTACTTATTTCAGGTACAATTCATCTTGGGATGTGGTCCTGGTCTTTAAGAAAATGACCATCTATTTCAGTGGTTCTCAACCTTCTGGCCCTTTAAATATAGTTCCTCATGTTGTGACCCAACCATAAAATTATTTTCGTTGCTACTTCATAACTGTAATGTTGCTACTGTTATGAATCGTAATGTAAATATCTGATATGCAGGATGGTCTTAGGCGACCACTGTGAAAGGGTCGTTCGACTGCCAAAGGGGTCGCGACCCACAGGTTGAGAACCGCTGATCTATTTGCATTAAAACAAGACTTACCACTCTGGTCAGCGGTGCTCAGTGGTTAAAGTGTCATTCTCAGGTTTGATTCCCAGTCAAGGGCATGTACCCCGGGTTACGGGTTATGGGCTCAATCCCCGGTGTGGAGTGAGCAGGAGGGAGCCAATCAATGATTCTCTCTCATTACTGATATTTCTATCTCTCTCTCCCTCTTCTTTCCTCTCTGAAATCAATAACAATATATTTTTTAAAAAGACTTACATGTACTAAATGATTAAAAAGCAATACCAAGTCTTTAAAAAACACCAAAAGTTACATTGAACATAATTCCTAAATGAAAGAAAAGATAATAATTTTTTTTTGTGATGACTACAGAGAAAGATGGTGGATACATCTTGGTAAAACCGCCATGGGAGTTGGCTTGGTGTGAAAGAAAATTAAAAATGTCCCAAAGAGGAACATAACTTAAGCAAAAGCTTTTATTTGGTGAGCATGGAGCCTGAAGCATGAGTAGCAAAAGGTCCTGTCTGACCGATATGTAAGATACTACTTAGAAGTAGAGGAAAAGGGAAGAGGGAGACAAATTATGGAAGGCTTGGTGTGCCAAGGTGAGAAGGTTAAAATAATTTGATAGGAATAAGATGTCATTTTAAGTTCTTGAATAACGGTGTTTGTTACTTGTCAAAATGCTTTATTGTAGCAAGAAGACAAGGAGACCTTCTAGCAAGAAGATAGGAAAGTTCAAGGATGAGGGGAGAGAGACGGTCAGACAAAGATGTTGCCATTGGGATGAAATGGATGAATCTGAGAGTTATTTCAAAGGAGAGTTACTAGTATTTCAAACTCCAAATGAGGCTGTCCCAACACCCTGGAGTCTTCTGGAGAAAATCACACAGTCCCACAGATTGACACCTTTAAAAAATTCAGACTCTCCCCAAGCTTGGAAAATCACTGCCTCCCAGGCCCTACAACTAGTTATTTCAAACAACTGACTCTTTTTAAAAAACATATATTCTTATTGATTTCAGAGAAGAAGGGAGAGGGGGAGAGAGAGGGAAACATCAATGATGAGAGAGAATCATTCATTAGCTGTTTCCTGCACACCCCTCACTGGGGATGGAGCCCACAACCTGGACATTGGCCCTTGACTGGAATCAAACTTGGGATCCTTCGGTCTGCAGGCCAACACTCTAGTCTATCCACTAAGCCAAACCCACTAGGGCTGGAGTAAATTCTAAGAGGCTTCTTAATGTACTTAATACTGTTCGATCCTCCTCCACATGGCCAAAATGCCACAATTTTCAATTGTCTGCTTTGTTTTCTTAGTCTTCCCTTGCTATGTTAATGTTCATTGTTATCAGTGTTGCTTTTGAAAGCTTCTCTTTACTCTCTTAATTTGCTATTTATTATATGCTGTGGTTTCAGAGATGATTACTAGAAATGGGTATAGATTAAGAGAAAATAAAGACTTCTGCATGAGTGAGGTAAATGAACATTATTTCATGTGACTGTTGTTATGTCTGGTCTTGGGTGTATATGTGTGTGTGTGGTTTGTTTTTGTTGTTGTTATTGTTAATCCTCACTTGAAGATATTTTTCCATTGATTCTTAGTGAGAGTGGAAGGGACGGGGAGGGACAGAGAGAGAGAAACATTCATATGAGAAAGACACATCAATTGGCATGCCTTGCACTGGGGATCAAGCCCACAACCCAGGCATGTGCCCTGACCAGGAATTGAACCAGGGATCTCCTGATTCATGGGTCAATGCTCAACCACTGAGCCATATCAGCTGGGCAGATCATATATTTCTTTAAATTAAAAAGGACTTTTAGCCCTCGCTGGTTTGGCTCAGTGGATAGAGTGTCGGCCTGCAGACCGAAAGGTCCCAGGTTCAATTCCAGTCAAGGGCACATGCCTGGGTTGTGGGCTCAGTCCAGTGTGCAGAAGGCAGACAATCAATGATTCCCTCTCATCATTGATGCTTCTATCTCTCTCTCTTCCTCTGCCTTCCTCTCTGAAATCAGTAAAAGTATATTTAAAAAAAATAAAAATAATAATAAAAAGGACTTTTACTATTCCTATGATTTGAGTAGTGCCATCTACTCTTGTCCCCAGAGTGTGGTGTGGTCAGTGAATTGATAGAGCAATCAGAGCAGAATGCTACCACATTCATTATGAGGTTGAAGTTATTACCTCATAACCTTGTAAAGCAATTATCAGGAAAAGCATAGGCTTGAGAGTCATACAAAGTCTCCAGTCTGCCATTTATTAGCCCTAATTTGGAGACAGGTTATTTAACCTCTTTAAGCCTCAGTCT